ATAAGATTATTAGTATCATATATATATATATATATATATATATATATCATTTAATGCAGCTGACAGGGCAGATTGAACTATTTTTTTAAGGTTTTCCAGCACGCTAACATTTTTCCGTTTTATAGGAGTTAAGGAATATAAAAATCGTCCATAATAGTTATTATCCAAGCGTTTTCGGCCACATCTCTAGCCATTTTCAAGGCTGTTTTCTCTCTGGTGCTGTTATTTTAACCCATCTTTTAAAACACCCTTGAAAATTTCCCCTTGTGTTTCGATTATAGCAGTGGCCGAAAGCATTTGCGACAATAGCAATTATGGACAATTTTTATATTCCTCAACTCCTATAAAACGAAGGAGGCTGAAAAAACATAATAAGAAATTAATTCAATCTGTCCTTGTCGGCCATATTCAATGAAAGATGTGCGAAAGAAATATTGCTACTATATATATATATATATATATATATATATATATATATATATATATATATATATATATGTATGTATGTATGTATATGATAAAAATATACTTTTATGGTATGCTATATTCATGGGTCAAAGTTGTCAATATCAGGCATATGGTTTGGTTTATTTCGTTTTATGGCATATCAACCTCAATGGTTTATTTAATGCCGACAACATTTTTAGGATAGATTCGTATGAATATAATATGTATTCTTTGCTTTAGATTGGTTTGGTTTATTTCGCTTTATGGCATATCAACCTCAATGTGTTATTTAATGCCGACAACATTTTTAGGATAGATTCGTATGAATAGAATATGTATTTTTTGTTTAGATTGGTTTGGTTTATTTTGTTTTACGGCATATCAACCTCAATGGGTTATTTAATGCCGACAACATTTTTAGGATAGATTCGTATGAATAGAATATGTATTCTTTGCTTTAGATTGGTCTGGTTTATTTTGTTTTACGGTATATCAACCTCCATAGGCTATTTAATGCCTACAAAATTTTTTATTGCTAGTAATAATTTGTTTTGTCAAAAATCTGTTTCTGGTAATATATTTCCTTCGAAATTGTATTTCTGGTAATATTTTTTCCAAAAAGTATTGCCGGTAATATTTAACTATTTGCCCATAGATGGAACCCTAACAAGTGGTACAACCCTGTGTCAGGGTGGACCTGGGAACACCAGCAATTAAGAGGTGGTCCTGCTGTACATAGTTTACCGTCTTACTCAGGACGCGGATGTAGTTTAACGTCTTACCCACGACGCTGCAGTGGAAAGACTATATTGAATCCATTATTAGGTCTGCTGCTAAGAAAGTTGGTTCAGTGTCGATCTAGACAATTTTTCTCTCCAAAATCTATCTTACATATTTATAAGTCTACCATTCGTCTATGCTTCGAATATTGCTGCCATATATGGTCCGGTGATCCTGTTATATATTTAGAGCTCCTTGATAAAACCCAAAGGATAATCAGCAATATTATTGGTCCTCATCTGGCGTCTCGGCTACAGTTACTTTCCCACCGCCGTAAAGTTGCTTCCCTGTGCCTTTTCTATAAATACTTTGACAGTAATTGTTCGGATAAGCTCTTCATTGTGGTATCTAGATTTTATGAATTTAAACCTAGTACCAGATTAGCAACAAGGTCTCATCAATTTACAGATGAATTGGCTAGACGTAGTTCTATTCTAACAGTTTCTTTTCTCGCACTTGTGGAACATCCCTCTGGCTCCTTTCTTTCCAGTCATGTTTGATCTTCGAAAATTTAAATGCAATGTCTATCGTTATATACGGTCTGTCTTGATTAATCTTCTTTTATTCTCGTTCCTAAATAATGTTTCTGTTTTCTAATTCGTTTACACCCAGTAACACTTTGTGTTTTAGTAAATTTACAGCCTTGCATGGGGTGAATTTGGTTAAAATAAAAATAAAAAAAATGACTATTAAGGCATGAAAAATTTTTGCGGATTTTAATGTCATTCTGAAGTATTTGTTTATGTTTTCGTCCAAATCCGAGAATTTGATTTACTCGAAAAAACACAATATATAAAGTTCACTAATTTCTTTCTTTTTTTTTTATCCATAATGCAAAATGAGCTAAAATTATTCAACTTTTTAACAAGATAAAATCTCAAGTTGATGTTAAAAAATTCCGCAGAACATTGTTGATTTATTTAAGATGGAATGAACTATTATGACTTGTCTCTAAATTATATTTAAAGACATTGTATTTAATTTAAACTTTTCTAGTTGAATTGTTCACCTACGTTGCATAGGATCCATTATTGTACATAATTAGGTTAGAATAAAATTAGTATTTTATATGAATACTACCTTATGAAAATTAAGGTGTGGCTGAGTCGGGGACCCCCGTAGCATGGATTGGGGTGGGTTATATAATAGATTTCAGGGAGCACGAGACACTTGCATCAGCTCTGAAGTCAGCATCCCGATTTTTCATATGGGTCTGAACATCATATATAAAAGGAGAGATAAATATGTTATCATGTCGTCTATAAAGCAGGTGACCATCTAACACTATCGGTCTGCCATTTAAAAATAACAAAAATTATTGAAATATTTAGTTGGAGTGTAAAATAAAACAAAGTTACGATAGAGTCTTATGATTATGACAATTCACCGATGCACATTTATATATATAACTTTATGAATAGATATAATTTGCCACTTATATAGATGTGTGTCCTTATGTAGGGTATGAGTTATAATTTCGAATCTTAAAATCCTGAACGTCGAAATCCTGAAATTTGAAATCCCGAATTTATAAAATCCCGAAAGAACAGAATCGCGTAATTTAAAATCTCGAAATATCAGAATCCCGAAATTTAAAATCCTGTAAGATCAGAATCCCGAAATTTAAAATCCCGAAAGATCAGAATCCCGAAATTTAAAATCCGGAAAAATTTTCGCGGATTTTGATGTCATTCCGAAGTCTTTTTTTATTTTATGTTTTCGTCCAAATCCGTGAATTTCATTTACCCGGAAAAACACGATATAAAATTCACTATTTTTTAGTCCATAATGTTGAATGAGCTAAAATTATTCAACTTTTTAGCAAGAAAAATCTCAAGTTGATGTTAAAAACTCCCGCAACACATTGTTGATTTCTTTAAAATGGAATCATTTATTATGATATGTCTGTAATTTATATTTAGATACATTGTATTTATTTTAATTTTTACTAGTTGAATTGTTCACCTACGTTGCATAAGATCCATTAATGTACATAATTGTACAATAAAATTTTATTTTATGTGAATACTACCTTATGAAAATTGAGATGTAGTATAGTGGGGATGCCATATCATAGATTCGGGGGAACCACAAAACCTTTGCACTGTCCCTGCTCAACATTATATATGTCTTACATAGCAGTAAAATTTGTTTAGAAACAAAGAAAAGTCTACTGAACTGTTATGCGATATTGGTCCTTGTATATGTCAGTGAATGCTGGACAAACTCTTCGCGGATGAAGAGAAGACTTCAGGCAACAGAAATGTGGATCTACAGAAGGATGCTGAGAATACTATGGACTGAAAACGTGAACAAAGATGATGCCTTTGAGAGAATATAAACAAAAAGGACACTTATAATTAGAATCAGAAAAGAACAGTTGAAGTTCCTGAGGAAAGTGGACTTGGAAATTTTAACACTTACATGATATATCGAAGGGGATTGAGGAAAACAGAGAATAAACTAGCTAACGAACCTGTTAGCAGAACAGGGATTAGGAGAGTTAGCAAAATGTCAAACATTCTTAAGAGCTACAAAGAACAAGAACTTGTGGAGAAACATGATCGCTAACGTCCTGAAGGGACACGGCGCATAGAACAAGAAGTTGTTTGCAAACAAGAGAAGGTAAGAAAAGTTACCCAGTTCGGAGAGAAAGACAGTATTGGCATAAGATTGCATATATATTGTTATTGATTATATTGCTTCTGTGGTAAACAAACAAAAAAAAACGTACCTCAACAGGTGATATTAATCTCACAGCTGATAATGCAATGACCTGTCATAATCATAAGACTCTATTGTAACTTTGTTTTATTTTACACTCCAACTAAATATTTCAATAATTTTTGTTATTTTTAAATAGCAGAGCGATAGTGTTAGATGATCACCTGCTTTATAGACGACATGATAACATATTTATCTCTCCTGTCTATATATGATGTTCAGAACCATGTGAAAAATCGGGATACTGACTTCAGAGCTGATGCAAGTGTCTCGTGCTCCCTGAAATCTATTATATAACCCACCCCAATCCATGCTACGGGGTCCCCGACTCAGCTACACCTTAATTTTCATAAGGTAGTATTCATATAAAATACTAATTTTATTCTAACTTAATTATGTAGAATAATGGATCCTATGTAATATAGGTGAACAATTCAACTAGAAAAACTAAAAATAAATCCAATGGATCTAAATACAAATTAGAGACATGTCATAATGGATCATTGCATCTTTAAAAAAATCAACAATGTTTTGCGGCTATTTTAACACAAACTTGAGATTTTTCTTGTTAAAAAGTTGAAAAATTTTAACATATTCAATATAGAATAAAAAAATGAATTTTATATTGTGTTTTTTATTTCGACACGAAGCATGAGCAAAACAAATTCACGGATTTAAACGAAAAAAAAAACTTGACATCAAAATCCGAGAAGAGAAGGCAATAAAAGTTTTCCAGTTCGGAGAGAAAAACAGTACTTGTATTAGTTTGCATGTATATTGTTATTGATTATATTGCTACTTTGGTAAACAAAAAAAAGGACTTCAACAGGTGATGTTAATCTCACAGGTGATAATGGCAATTCGTTATTGTTTCCTTTTTAATCCCATCAGCTGGAGGAGAGCCTGGTGACAATATCTAGAAACCGCGTCTTTCATTGAAACTATATTCATCACAGGGTGAATGGGAAAGGATTTTGTTTGTTTTTTTGTTTTTCTTTTTCCTTTTTTTACATCCGCCGGACATAGGCAGATGAAGAGTTGGGTTAATTTCAACATGTCCTATTCTGTACTTGTATAAAAGGTGGTTTGGTTTTGTTAAGTGATACAAATTCTCCATGATATGTTGTTTGGACTTTTCCTGTTTTCTCTTCAGCATACACGCTTATCAAATATTTGGGATTTGATAGATAGATAGATAGATAGATAGATAGATAGATAGATAAAGGGAGAAACAGACTTAGATAGATAGATAGATAGATAGATAGATAGATAGATAGATAGACAGACAGACAGAGAAAGGTAGAAAGCGACTGGTAGAAAGAGAGAGAGAGAGAAAGGGGAAACGAACTAAGATAGAGAGAGAGAGAGAGTGAGAGAGAGAGTGAGAGAGAGAGAAAGAGGGGAAACAGACTTAGATAGATAGATAGATAGATAGATAGATAGATAGATAGATAGATAGATAGATAGATAGATAGATACTGATATTCTGTGTCTACCAGACGTTTGGTCAAGAATCCACCCATGAAATGCTTCGCCTGTCATAATGTATATTTTAGACAGTTTTTTTCTGTTTAACCTTTTTATTGTTTTAACTCTCTCTTGTTACCATTTTTATTTCTTTATTTTTCTTGAAATTTCTCTTGTATTTTTCTTGAAATTTCTGTGTTATTTTTTTTAAATTACTACTTTTAAGCCTTCTTTTAGGCAAGTATGTATGTACATATATATATATATATATGTAAGGACGTTCTCCTCCTACCCCCCACTATCATATTAATTCAGTGATTTACCAATATAAGTGTAGTTGTGGACTCGACTACATAGGGAGGACGTCTCAACGTTTGGATCTGAGAATAAAATAACATTTACCCACCAGGATTTTGAATCCGTCTGCCAGGAAGAGCCAACTAAGCAATACTTCTGACTCTGCTATTGCTGAGCATATAATAAATAGCAGGTATTGTGTGGTTGATTTTAGTGTGGACCTTTTTGATTTTATCTAGGTCCCACTCCTCATATCATCTCAAGGATCTAGAGTCCTTGTATATCAGATCCCGTGGGCCTTCCCTTTGTAAACAGAGGGAATGCTTGCTGGGTTTGAATGTTATTGGACTCTAGTTTCTTAAAATTCAATTTTTTTTCTTCCATTCCATTCGTTAATTTAATTTACACGCTTTTATAAATTTTCTATTCCCAGAAAAATAAACTTGATAAGTCCTGGAACGAAACCGGTTGTTTTTTAGCTTTTTTAAATAATATATATATATATATATATATATATATATATATATATATATATATAGATAGATAGATAGATAGATAGAAACCTTGAAAGTAAACCTTGTTTCTATTGCTCATCAGAAAGCACTCTTATCGAGGCGACCAGACCCATGGAACAACTAAGTTTCGACTACAAGAGACCCATACCTTCTGTTACGCGTAACATGTATTTATTCGCAATAATTGACGAATACTCGCGGTTTCAATTCACCTTCCCGTGTCCAAACATGTACACATCAGTAATTAAATCCTTAGATCTATTGTTCAGCTAAGCCTGGACACCCGGCTATATACAGCCGGACAAACAATCTCTCCCCCAAAGGGGCCGCAACATGCAAAACCACTCCATGCCACCCAACTGGTAACGCACAGGTTGGCCGATTTAACTTCACAAAACGAAAGGCGATTCCTCTAGCCGTTAGGTGGAGTAGCCTACCTGAAAAGTACTAGGAATTGGTACTTCCTGAAGTGTTACCCCCTCTCATGAACGCTTCGTTGCATTACTGCGCTGCTCAACATACGGGGGTTCACTATCGTCCAGGCCAATGTCACCAGGTCCCATGTTATTAAAAAGGTTCATACGAAACTGTAAAACTGGTCCTTATGGGGACAAAGTCGAGCTCCACGATGGTAATCCGAAAAAAAAGTTTCTAGGTCTGCTCTACGGTTGTATTGAGCTCTTTTGTTAGTTAGTTGTTACTCGTATCGGGTTTTTTCTTTGGGCTTCAGACCTGCATCTGTGCGATTTTTTTGTCGGCAGAAGTCCATGTTTGTAGCTCTTTCTTTTTTTTAAACCTTTTTTTCCCGAAATTGATTTGATTAACAAATCAAAAATTCGAGGGTTTTTCGAAACGAGTCTAGTTATCTATATATATATATATATATATATATATATATATATATATATATATATATATATATATATATCAACAACATCTGTACTGCACTAACTGTCGATTCACATGATATTTAATGCAAATTTGTCTTTCGTAGTAACTTGGCCCGTGTGCCAATATTGTACGCTTTTCAAAAGATGGGATCTTGGGACTTATACTAAGTTAAAACTTTATAACTATCAAGCCCATTTCTAATCTATCTCCTATCCTCATTGATAAGGCGATTCTGATGAATTCTCAGAACAACTGTCAATTCCCGCGTTGTGTGACCTTTTTCCCCACGAAACCAATCAAAACAAACATGAGGGCAATCAACTAGCAAACCCAATCTAAAAAAAACCAAAAAAAAAACCGTAGACTTAGTTATACCATCACTTACATCAATGTAAGGGGTCTGCGTTCGAACTTTCCAGAAGTGAAACTTCATCATCTTTAATCACAAACTGACCTCCTTCTCCTGTCTGAAACGGTTATCAATGCTCAATCCCATTGCAGGAGCTCACAGTCCCGGGTTACTCGCCCATTATTACAAAATACAACCACCTAAATCGCGACGGTCACAGGCTCGATGCCTACATCAAGGACGGGTTTCCCTGTAGGAAGGGCACAAAAAAATGAGGACCCTGATCTCCCGTATATGTGTTTCCGCGTGGCACGTATCCATCGTACCACATTCGTATCGTCCTTGGGATGATTCAGGGAAAATTCCAGTGGTCGTCCTTAAGAATATCAACCCAGAATTATCCCTGATTCTAGCAAAGTTATTTAACCGCTGCTTGAAAGAGAAATCTTTCCCAAGCCTCTAGGTGTCAAGAGCATGCCCGGTCTTCAAGAACGCGAGCAACCGATCACCCCCGCCCCAGTATGGATCCATTAGTCACCTCAGTATCATCAATCAGCTTTTTTAAGGAATTTAATCAACAAGAAGGTTGTTGACCACTTGGAGAGGAACAACCTCTTGTGCGACAAGCAGTATAGGTTTCGATCAGTCCGATCCACTGCTGATGTCCTAATTACCATTACACACAGAATTAGTGAGGCTCTGGACGACACCCACGCCGAAAAGATCATAGCATTAGATACGTCGAAGGCCTTCGACAAGGTGTGGCACAAAGCTTTGCTGCACAAGCTCTCCAGCTATGAAATCACTGGAAAGTCTTTCTCTATTATAAAATCCTTCCTAAAGATAGTTATTAACATTCAGTCATCCGAGGCCCTGGCGGTCAACGCAGGCGTTGCCTAGGGCTCACTTCTTGGACTAACCCTTTTTTGATTTACCTAAATGATCTACCTAAGAATATACTCCGACCATTTTTAAACGTCCTTGTCGATGATATGACGATGATACGACGAGATTGTCGGAACAAGGGTGTCTCCGAGTCCTTGTTGGAGAATAATTATTTTCCAGCCTCCAACCTCTCTCTCACAGGCGGGATGTGGCGAGTCTCTCACTGCTCTATCGTTACTATCATGGAAAGTGCTTGGACGAACTGCATCTCCAAGTTCCACCAGGTCTGACCTTCACTGCTAGGACCCGCCAGTCCACTTACATTGTAGCAAACTACACACATTCCCTCCGTATCCCATCGGGGAGAAGTAAGCTCCACTCAAACAGCTTCTCCCCGCAAACTACTGCCCTGTGGAACAGACACCCAAGAGGATGTTTCCCTGATTACTACAATCTTAACATTTTAGAGTTAACCGTTATCTTTCCCTCCTATCCATATAAACTATCCCTTACTGTAACCATCTACATCGAGTGCCCCCTGGCCGGCCTTGTACAGAGTGAAACTTATTGTAAAAAAAAGACAGACAGACAGATAGATAGATAGATAGATAGATAGATAGATAGATAGATAGATAGATAGATAAAGACATTCATAGATCCATGAAGCAAATTACATAAATTTGTGTACTCTAGCATACGCGCAGACACAAATTACGAATGTAGAAATCCTGAAATTTAAAATCCCGAAATTTGAAATCCCAAATGTATCAAAATCTTGAAATTTAAAATCCTGGAAGATCAGAATCCCAAAAAATATCCTTGGGGAAAAATTTTTTGGAAATACCTTTATTTCTAAGCATTTACAAAATAGCGTTTAAATAGTGTTTATACATTTGAAACAACCAAAATTCATTAAAAGATATAAAACCAGAATATAGCATGGGCAATGGGAGAGTTTAGTAAGCAATGATTATGTCGGAGTTTATTGCATTATTGGAGAGTTTCAAAAAGTGCAGCGGGGCGTAGAAAACAAATGGGAATTCATTCTCCGTGGAGAACCGTGTTCAAAAAGAAAAAAAAAATGTTTTTTATCGTGATGAAAGACAAATTTATAGTTAACGTTCGTGAAAACCGACAAGATCTTACGGACTATCACTGAGCTCTTGCTCATAATCATTCATTATAAATTATCCATATATTCTGGTTATATATATATATATATATATATATATATATATATATATATATATATATATATAGTTTATGCAAACTTAGGTAATCCGTATGGGCAGACCTGAGGAGGATGATATCCAGAGAGCTCAATGTAAAATTCAGAGCGGATATGTTTGAATAAAAAACAGACCACGTTAAGATTCCATGTATTAAGCTATTTCACCATAACCCCTTTAACAGGGTTCTGGATCAGCAGACTTTACTTTCAAAAGCTGAAATGAAATATATATATATATATATATATATATATATATATATATATATATATATATATATATATATATATATATATATATATATATATTAATGAATTTTAATGTTTTAAATGAATAAACATTATTTAACTGGTATTTTGTAAATATTTAGAAATAAAGGCATTTCCATTTTTTTCAATTTCTCCCAAAGGGATTCTGATCTTTCAGGATTTTAAATTTCGGGATTCTGATCCTTCGGGATTTTAAATTTCGGGATTCTGATCTTTCAGGATTTTAAATTTCGGGATTCTGATCTTTCGAGATTTTAAATTTCGCGATTCTGTTCTTTCGAGATTTTATAAATTCGGGATTTCAAATTTCAGGATTTCGACGTTCAGGATTTTAAGATTCGAAATTATAACTCGTACCCTACATAAGGACACACATCTATATAAGTAGCAAATTATATCTATCCATAAAGTTATATATATATGTGTACATCGGTGAATTGTCATAATCATAAGACTCTATTGTAACTTTGTTTTATTTTACACTCCAACTAAATATTTCAATAATTTTTGTTATTTTTAAATGGCAGACTGATAGTGTTAGATGGTCACCTGCTTTATAGACGACATGATAACATATTTAGCTCTCCTGTTTATATATGATGTTCAGACCCATATGAAAAATCGGGATGCTGACTTCAGAGCTGATGCAAGTGTCTCGTGCACCCCGAAATCTATTATATAACCCACCCCAATCCATGCTACGGGGTCCCCGACTCAGCTACACCTTAATTTTCATAAGGTAGTATTCATATAAAATACTAATTTTATTCTAACTTAATTATGTATAATAATGGATCCTATGCAATATAGGTGAATAATTCAACTAGAAAAATTGAAAATAAATCCAATGGATCTAAATACAAATTAGAGACATGTCATAATGGACCATTGTATCTTAAGAAAAAATCAATGTTTTGCAGCATTTTTTAACACAAACTTGAGATTTTTCTTGTTAAAATGTTGAAAAATTTTAACATATTTAGCATTATAGATAAAAAAAATAGTGAATTTTATAGAGTTTTTTTTTTTTTTTTTTTTTTTCGTGACTAAACATGATCAAACAAAACAAATTCACGGATTTGGACGAGAAAAAAAAAGACCCTAGAATGACGTCAAAATCCGCGAAAATTTTTCATCTTTCATTTGTGCTTAGTAAAGTTTAATTTGTAACTTATATAAATGTAGGTAGAGAAAAGCAAACATTGATAAGATCGCGAGGGTCACAAAGCACCGCCCGGGGTCCTAAATCAGGCTTGCCCACTACCTTCTCCTGGTCGGGAGATAGTACGCGCTGGGCCTGTTGATTTTTTTTTTTTTTTTTATAGATCGAGATACAAGTCTTTTTCTTTATTTGTAAGGCTAGTGTAATCCAACCTTCCTTAAGTTTTTGATAGACTTCTGACTGTTTTGTTTTTTTTATTTTGCTACAAAGAAATGAATGGTTGATCTTAAGCGGTCATAAATTAATTCATATGCATGCCCTACGCACGCATCTGTGATGGAAGCCGTAAATTAAGCAATTATATTAGTACTTTTATTTTATTTTAGTGACGTACACCTGTCTTTAGCGAAACAGTTATGGCATATTTAAAATGATGCAGCTAACGCTCATCGTTATTCCCTTAGTCAAATTTGTATTTGTTTTAGATTCCCTACGTTGCCTTTTGGACGACTTAAACATGCAACCGAAGGCATTTCCAACGCAATGAAACGCGATACGCACTTAGGTGCAGAGTAACGCTTACTGCCTTTTTGTAGTAATTCTTTCGTTTTACTTTCTCTAAATTTCGAATTTAAGAATGGTTTATTTGGAAGAAGATGGTGACTTTGTTGACGAAATATGGAGTCCAGATTGATAATGGGGTTTATCTGACATCGTTGCACTGAAATTAGTAGTGATAATCGGAAAGTAACAGTTATTCTGTGGATGGATTATTTTGCGTTGCGGATGCATTAGGATGTGATAGTGGGGGAGGTTAGTAAGAGGAAAATAGTAGTCGTAGTCAAAGAAGAAAGAACGAGAGAAGAAGTACGCGTAGTGAGTGTTTCGGTCGTGATTAGGTTATGGTTTTAAGAGAACGGTGGGAAAAAGAGTTTTTAAAAATGAGGAAAGTAGAAGATAGACAAATAAAAAGATGATAAATACATGCAAAAAAAAAGGAAAAAGGAAGGAGGAGGGATAAGAATAAAGAGTAGGAAAGAAAGAAAGAAAGAAAGAAAGAATATAAGACGAGGAAAAGAAAAAAAAACCTAAGTTGAAAATTAGCAAAAAAAAAAAAAAAAGAATAGAATAGAATAGATAGATAGATAGATAGATAGATAGATATGATTAGCTTGAGATAGATAGATAGATAGATAGATAGATAGATAGATAGATAGATAGATAGATAGATAGTATTGATTAGAGATAGATAGATAGATAGATAGATAGATAGATATGATTAGATGATTAGATAGATAGATAGATAGATAGATAGATAGATAGATAGATAGATAGATAGATAATGATGATAGATTATTAGCTTAGATAGATAGATAGATAGATAGATAGATAGATATGATTAAATTGAGATAGATAGATAGATAGATAGATAGATAGATAGATAGATAGATATGATTAGATTGAGATAGATAGATAGATAGATAGATAGACAGACAGACAGACAGACAGACAGATAGATAGATAGATAGATAGATAGATAGATAGATAGATAGATAGATAGATATGATTAGCTTGAGATAGATAGATAGATAGATAGATAGATATGATTAGATTGAGATAGATAGATATGATTAGCTTGAGATAGATAGATAGATAGATAGATAGATAGATATGATTAGATTGAGATAGATAGATAGATAGATAGATAGATAGATAGATAGATAGATAGATAGATAGATTGAGATAGATAGATAGATAGATAGATAGATAGATAGATAGATATGATTAGATTGAGATAGATAGATAGATAGATAGATAGATAGATAGATAGATAGATAGATAGATAGATGTTGCTTCTTTCTTGACTCAAGCTTTTAGAGTCGGTTGGTTGTTGGCGTAGGGAGACAACCTAAATTGTCACGTCTACCTTCTTACACTTAGCTTTGCGTGTGTGTCTTAGTAAATCAAGCCAGTGCGCGAGTGGCGTGCGTGAGCCCTTGTTTTTGAGTGCATGCCCCCCAACCCTCTCTCTCTTACAACTGTTGATTCTTCTTCTTCTTCTTCTTCTTTCTGGAAATAAACTTTCTCTCTCGATCCCTCTTTCTTTCTTTCTTTCTTTCTCTCTCTCTTTCTCTCTCTCTCTCGTTCTTTTATTACTTTTCTTTTTTTTTGTCTTAACTGATCTCTTTCTCTCCTTATTTTTTCTCAAACTTTTCTTTCTCTCTTTCTTTTTCTTTCTTTCACCCCCTCTCTCTTACTCTATTTCTCCGTTAGCAGCCTCCTATTTTTCTTCTCCTCTCCCTTTTCCTCATCTCTTCCTTCCTCTCCTCCTCCTCCTGCTGCTGCTGCTGCTTCTGCCGTGGTCGTGGTTGTGATCGTCACCGATTCCCGACTCTGATGCCGCCGCCTCTGCCTCAACATTATGTGCTTATAATTCTTTTCACCCTGTCTCCTCACCCTTAACTGCTCCTCACCTATGTGGCGCATCCATCCCTGAGTCTGCAAAAAAAAAAAAAAAAAAAAACCTGTTTATTTAAAAAAAAAAAGAAAAGCCACAACAACAAACAAAAACAAAACACAACTAAATATCAAACCAAAAAAAAAACAACCCTTTTTAAATTTTAAAAAAAATCACAAAATATAACAACAAAAAAAAAATACAAAAAAAAAACACACACTTTTATCCACCACCAGACCCTCTTCTACTTTACCCAGGTATGTTTTCCATTGCATTTTTTAGTAGTTGCACATTTGCCTTCTACGTCTTTATCCGTCCGTCCATCCTACCTTTCTTCTTCTCTCTATCCAGATCCTGTCCGTCTACCCTCGTTGTAAAACCAAAGACACTTCTATTTTTTTTTCCGTTTCTGTCTTTTTAATAATAGTAATAATAACGATCATGACAATGATGATGATGATGATCATGTCGCTGACTGCTATCACACCCTCACTTCCATCGCAGTAATCAAAATTTCCCACTACAATAACCT